GGAGGAGGAGGAGGAGGAGGAGGAGGAGGAGGAGGGCGGTGGTTGACGCGGGCGGCCAGCGCGGCACACCGCGTGGAGGATGAGGGCGCTCCGCGACCTCGCGCGGGAGGCTTTCTGCGCGAACGTCCGCGCAGTCGACCCCCAAAAATTCTTCCGTCCCCTCCCCCTCCCCCTCCTCCTCTCCTCCTCCTCCTCCTCCTCTCCCCTCTCCTCCTCCCTCCTCCTCCTCCTCCCTCCTCCTCCCTCCTCCTCCTCCTCCCCCTCCTCCTCCTCCTCCCTGGCCCAAGGTGTCCCCAGGAGTTCCAGGGAGGCCCCCGCTGCCGAGCACCTCCTCACGAGGCCCAGAGGGCCCCAGGGGCTCCAACTCGACGCCAAAGACGCCTTGGGTCGAGGACTCCTTTAGCACCCCCCGATGATGGACACCCAGCTTTCGGATTCTCAGACCCCCGACGTCATGATTCTTTCATGACGTCGACCCCCCGGGATCTCGACCCATTCCCGAGGACCGGTTTTTATCCTGAGTCGTTTTTGACGGTCCCGAGGGCCGGTAAGAGCCCCCAGAGGCCGAAAGAAGCTAAAAAACCTCCCGTCGTCATTTTTGTCATGACTCGCGGGGTCTTGGTTCCCGATTGCATTTCGGGCCAGCGCGTCTTTGCGCTGGCTCGAAGCTGTAATGAGGGCGTGCCCGAAGGAGGGCAGCCAACTAGACAGATAGCCCCTGTTGGGCTGCCTCTCCTCAGGAGGAGGAGGAGGAGGAGCAGGAGGAGGAGGAGGAGGAGGTAGAGGGAGGAGAGAGGAGAGAGGAGGGGCAGGGATTAGGGAGGAGTAGAAGGAGCAGGAGGGAGAGGAGGAGGAGGAGGAGGAGGAGGAGGAGGAGGAGGAGGAGGAGGAGGGAGGAGGATGGGGAAGGAGCTCCAGCGTCTCAAGAGAGCAGTCCACAATGACCACGCCTATCGCCGGACAGCCACGCTGTGGCGGATAGTGAGCTCAGCTGCCATGCACGTAGCATCGACGGTTTCGAAATGTCCATCGGGTGTCTTAAACGTTCTAGGCTGAGATGTGCATTCCCTCCGCAATCTTCGCATGGAACATGCGATCGAGGAGGAAGGGAGGAGAAGGATGAGGAGGAGGAGAAGGAAGAGGAGGAGGAGGAGGAGGAGGAGGAGGAGGAGGAGGCGGAGGAGGAGGAGGAGGAGAGGGAGGAGGAGGAGGCGACGCGAAGGAGGCAAGACAGGAGACGGCATCAGAGAGGATAGAAAAAGACGGAGGCGCAGCGGGGGGGGGGGGGCGGGAAAAGGACGGGAATCTCCTAGAGCCCTACCTCCTCATGCTCCTCCTCTTTCCTCCTCCTCCTCCTCATCCTCCTCCTCCTCCTCCTCCTCTTCCTCACCCTCCTTCTCCTCCTCCTCCTCTCCTCCTGCTCCTGCTGCTCCTCCTCCTCCTCCTCCTCCTCCTCCTCCTCCTCCTCCTCCTCCTCCTCCTCCTCCTCCTCCTCCTCAGGAGAGGCAGCCCAGCTGGGACCATCTGTCCAGTTGGCGGCCCTCCCTCGGGCACGCCCTCATTGCAGCAAGCTTCGAGCCAGCGCCAAGACGCGCTGGCGCGACATGCGATCGGGAACCCAGACCCCCGCGAGTCGTGGCAACAATCACGACGGGAGGTTTTTTTTCGCTACTCTCCGAGGCGGACAGGGATCTCCTAGAGCCCTACCTCCCCCTCCTCCTCTTCCTCCTCCTCTTCCTCCTCTTCCGTATGCGCCTCCTCTTCCGCCTCCGCCTCCTCCTTCGCCTCCTCCTCCTCCTCCTCCTCCTCCTCCTCCTCATCATCATCATCATCATCATCATCACCATCAACATCACCATCATCATCACATCATCACATCATCACCATCACCATCACCATCATCACCATCATCATCATCATCATCATCATCATCATCATCATCATCATCATCATCATCATCATCATCATCATCATCATCATCACCATCACCATCACCATCACCATCACCATCACCATCATCATCACCATCAAAATCACCATCATCATCATCATCATCATCATAGGGAGACGACGACGGCTGCGACGACGACGCGACGACGCCGAAGCCGACGGCCCTGCTCGAGGGAGGGCGGGCGGGCCCGCCTCGAGAAACTTGGCCTCGGCGGTGAGGCCACTCAGCCGCTTCTTCATGTTGTTCAGGATCTTCACCGTTCTGCCGGACCTCCTGCGAGCGCGTTCCGCCTCCGCCTCCTCCTCCTTCTCCTCCTCCTCCTCCTCCCGATCCATGCGATTCCCGTCCCTCCTCACATCCTCGTCGTCCTCCCCCCTCTTCCTTCCCCTTTCTGCTCCTCCGCCCTCCCCCTCCCCGAGCTCCTGCACCCCCCACTCCTCGCCCAAGATTCGTCTCCATCTGGGCCTGCCCTGTCTTCCCGATCCTGCTCGTCCTCTTCCCCTCCCTCTCCTGCTCCCGTCCCTGTTCCTTGCTTCCCGTCGTCCCCGTAGAGTAGAATCAAACTCCTGCACTCCTCATCCAACTCCCTTCCTCCTCCATGATCTCCTGCTTCCCATCTCTTATCGGGTCACCTATTCCTCCTCCTTTTACCCCTCGCCCCTGCTCCTCATTCCGTCATCACCTTCTTCAGCCTGTTCCTGCTCTTGTTCCTTCTCCTCGGGCTCCCGGCCTGAAGCAATTCAAGCCAACTCGCCCAGGGAGACCACTGCCCAACCCTGCCCAGGCAGCAGAAACGGATAACAAAACACAACTCAAAAGAATCGTCGTAAGAAGAAGACTCGCCGTCGTCATCGTCGCCTGTGTCGCAGTCGCCGGTGTCGCCGCCGACGCCGCCGCCGACGTCGACGTCGTCGCCGCTGCTGTCGTCGCAGTCGTCCTCCTCGTCACTGTCGTTGCCGTCGTCTGCGCTGATCGTCGCAGTCGTCGTCGCTGTGGTCCTGGGGTGGCCGGAGGCCTCTGGCTGTCTCCGGCAGAGGTCCGCGGCGGCGGCGGCCCCTGGACGCCCGCGGACGTCTCTGTGGGACCCAAGATGCGCCTCCAGAGGCGCACAGGTCATCCTCTTCTCCTTCTCGTCCCGCCTGGTGAGGTGCTCATGCTGAGGACCTTCCTGGAGCCACTCGCTCCGCTCCTGCGTCGATGCTGCGTCGAACGTCCGTCGACTGAAGCCGAACTCGAGCCGTGCATGAGTTGAGCTAGTCTAGCTGATGTCGAATTACAAGTGGGTCCCAGGGAGATCCCCAAAGCAAAACATCGTCGGGGATCTTCTGACCCAGGTCAATCCAGACCTGGGTCACTCAGGCCTTGCAGGATCCTGCAAAATCCTGCGCCCAGGCCCGGGTCGATGCGAAGGATCCTGCAAGATCCTGCAGGGTCCTGCACCCAAACCCGGGTCCATGCGACCCTGGCCCTACAGGATCCTGCAAGATCGGGCGCTCTGGCTGACCCCCGTTTGCACTGACCCCCGCCTCTTGAGCCCCACCATCGAAATCATCCCCCTCGCCCGGAAGGAGGACGGCCCCGGGAGGCCGTCCTCTTCTGCCCCTCGCCCGGCCCAAGGCGGCGCCCGAGCGCCGAGATTTCCTCTCCCAGCTCCGGCCCAGGGACGCTCGATTCTCCGATCAGTGGGGGTCCCGACACGGTGCGGTGACAGACCGTGCGGTGACCTCGAAATCCCCAAGACCTCACCGCACGGCCCGTCACCGCACGGTCTCGGGACCCTGGAGGCCCCCGTCGCCCGAGACATCCTCGGAAAAGGACTCGAGTCCCAAAACCGCGCGATGGCCCCGAACCCCCACCGACTCACCACACGGTGTGGTCACCACCCACCACCCCGTTTGGGGGCCCCCGAGATGAAACTTGATCCTTTCGGACTGGGGCCCGCGGAAGGCTCGATCAGCTCCGCAGGGCGGTGCGCTTCCATCCCGAGTTGCGAGCCGACGCGAATCAGCAGGCCGCCAGTGAGAGTCACCGATGCAGCAGCTCCCCGGACCTCTCCCATGGCCCAAAGATCCGACGTCGTGTCTTTTTCAATACGGAGTCCCCAGAAGTCTCGACCCACTCCCCAGGACCGGTGTTTCGTCCTGAGTCGTTGTTCGACGCTCCCGCGGCCAGGCGGGGGCCCCTGGAGGCCGAGAACTGAAGCAAACATCGACGCCCTGATTTTGTTCGGTACGTTGGGCCTCTCCTGTGGAGCGCCCTGGCCGGGATCTCTCGAGAGCCCGGCCGTGGAGACGAGGGCTCTTAATAGGCCTGCCACGAACATGTTCTTAGCAGCTCTCGCTTTCTGATAGGCCTGCCACGAAAATGCTCTTCGAAGCCACACATCTTCTCAGAACAAAAGGGGTGCTCTTAGAACCTAAACCCATTCTATGTCGGCAGAGCAGGATCGGCCAGAAATGTTCTACGAGCACTTCGTGCAGACCACAAAAGACTAGCAGACAAGTCTTTGGTGGGCCTATAGGCCAGCCGGGACGCTTCGCCACTGCACGACGTACGGGGTTAACAGAAGTTCCGACACATTCACCAGGCTTTCCCCTCACGAGTAATTAGTCTTTCGACCGTCCCAGGGCAAGGCGAGGACCCCCCAGAGACCGAGAACGTTCCGAAACCTCCCAGCGAGATGTTGCACGACGCGAGCCCGTCTGGGCGTGTGCCTCTCCCCCCCGTGCTTCGTCAAGCAGTGCCAAATAAACCACTCCCCTTCCGACCCTCCCCCCTCCCTGACCTCCCCTCCCCTCCCTCGCGCCCCCTTCCCGACCCGACCCCCCCTTTTCCTCGTCCTTCCCCTCGCCGCCCCCCACCCCCCCTTTCCCTCGCCCTCCCCCCCCTCTTTTTCGACTTCTTTCTCTGAGACGCCTGGTTGTTGTGGCTGGGGGTGGGAGGCGACGATCAGGGGGGGACTGGGCACAGAGAGGGAAGCATCGACCTGTAATCGGCGACGCATCGCTGATAGATCGGCGACAGACCCCCGGCAGCAACCCCGCACGCTCCTGGGCTGGGTGGTGCTATCAGGCAGGCACCCATCGGCGATCCACGGGCGAGTTGGGGTCGATGCGCCCGCCACCCGTTGTGTTAAGTCGGGCGCGTCCTCCTACAAGGCCGATCGTTGACGACAAATTTTAAATCCGCCGGCGCCGAAGGCCCGCAGTTTCCTGTTCAAGTTGCAACCTCCTGTTTCCATTGTTACAGTTCTGCTCCTTGCTGCTTACTGTTCCTTGTTGATGGACCGCGCGAAAAGGGGGAGGCCCAAACGGGTAGGTTTAGCACGCCCTGAGTGTGTTGTCTGAATTGCTGGGGTGGGTAAAAATTCACACGCCTCACGCAGATCGGCGGAGTCAGGGTCCGAAAACACCGGGGATTTGCCACATTTCTGAAATTGGCTGGCACCCCTCACGCAGATCGGCGGGGTCAGGGGCCAACAACACATGGGATTTGCCACATTTCTGAAATTCGCTGGCACTCCTCAAGCAGATCGGCGGGGTCAGGGTCCAAAAACACATCGGATTTGCTACATTTCTGAAATTCGCTGGCACCGCTCACGCAGATCGGCGGGGTCAGGGTCCAAAAACACATGGGATTTGCCACATTTCTAGAATTTGCTGGCACTCCTCACGCAGATCGGCGGGGTCAGGGTCCAACAACACATGGGATTTGCCACATTTCTGAAATTCGCTGGCACCGCTCACGCAGATCCGTAGGGTCAGGGTCCAAAACCACAAGGGATTCGCCACATTTCTGAAATTCGCTGGCACCCCTCACGCAGATCCGTAGGGTCAGGGTCGAAAAACAAACAGGTCCCGACACTGCTTCACGGCGGCGTCCAGACCTCATGATTTAGCTCTTGCATCCCCCATTATCCGAGACAGGGGGCCGGCGGCATGGGGTGAAACCCTTACGGATTTACACCAAAAAACAAAATATCAAAACAAACAAAAAAATCAAAAATGCTTAAAATCGTTCCCAGACTATTTGATGTATTAATTCCCTACCTAGGCTCTGCCTAGAGGGTTCTTACTCTCTTAGCTTAAAGGGGCCGGGCAGTGCAAAGCGCCCCGGGCGGTTCCCCCAGTCCCCGCCCCGCGGTTCCCCCAGTTGCGCCCCCTGGGTTCACCCAGCTTAGCTTAGCTTCAGCTTAGCTTCAGCTTAGTTTTAGCTTAGCTCTAGCTTAGCTTTAGCTTAGCTTTAGCTTAGCTTTAGCTTAACTCCAGCTTAGCTTTAACTTAGCTTTAGCTTAGCTTCAGCTTAGCTTCAGCTTAGCTCTAGCTTAGCTCTAGCTTAGCTTCAGCTTAGCTTTAGCTTAGCTTCAGCTTGGCTCTAGCTTAGCTCTAGCTTAGCTTTAGCTTAGCGTCATCTTAGCTTCAGCTTAGCTTCAGCTTAGCGTTAGTTAGCTTAGCTTCAGTTTAGCTCTAGATTAGCTTTAGTTTAGCTCTAGCTTAGCTTTAGCTTAGCTTTAGCTTAGCTTCAGCTTAGCTTCAGCTTAGCTTTAGCTTAGCTCTAGCTTAGCGCCAGCTTAACTCCAGCTTAGCTTTAGCTTAGCTCTAGCTTAGCTTCAGCTTAGCTTTAGCTTAGCTTCAGCTTAGCTTCAGCTTAGCTTTAGCTTAGCTTCAGCTTAGCTCTAGCCTAGCTTTAGCTTAGCTCTAGCTTAGCGTTAGCTTAGTTTTAGCTTAGCTTTAGCTTAGCTTGAGCTTAGCTGTTTCTTAGCTTTAGCTTAGCTTTAGCTTAGCTTTCGCTTAGCTTTGACTTAGCTTTAGCTTAGCTTTAGCTTAGCTTTAGCTTAGCTCTATCTTAGCTTTAGCTTAGCTTTTCGGTTACTACTAATGCTGCTTTCCTAGGGGCTCCAACTCCTAGGTAGGGTCGCACTGGGATAATTTTGAATATCCCTCCTGTAGAGGGACACGCCCGACTTAACCCTTGTGCCTTCAGTCGGACCTGGGGCAGAAGACCATCCCTCGAGAACGTGAGGCCCTCCGCCGGGGTCAGAGGCACCATCCTTCAGGGTACCCGTCCCCAGGATGCACACGAATGCACAACAGATGCGAAGAACATCAGGGTACCCCCCCCCGAACCGACCTCGATCGTAGATCCTCGCAGTTCACGCAGGAATCGCGCTCTCGCGTGGGGCTTCCTCGGAACTTCTTCAAGCACCTCGCCCTCGACGCTCAGGCATCGCGCTGTCGCTCTGGTTGCTTTGCTGCACGATTTTTCCTTGGGAATCGTGCCACCGCTCGAGACCTCCTCGCGAGACTTCGGTCCG